ACTGCTGGAGTGCTGCGCTCACGCAGATGGCGCAGCAAGCATATGCATGCTTGTTTCCGATGGTTTGCGTTGCAAGTGCAAATCACGTCCGACGCAGCTCGAACAGTGCGCAGCTTGTTGTGTGCGGCGAGTCAGCAGCATGATGTGTCTATGGTTGACCAAACAAAGCCTTAACCAGTCCACGCAAACAGCGACTTTTGTACATGTAAAACAATACTACGTAAAATGAAAACTTCAAGAATTGTTGAATGACACATTTATTGCAAAAGTGGCAAACACGAAAGAAATGGAACTGTTTCGCAAAAATTGCATTGCAAGCGTATTGCAAAAATTGCAATTGGAGCCCATCGCTGGCTAGGGTTCAGTCTTGCAGTCAAGCCAATCACGACGGCGGTGCTGCATGGATACGAAGCGGAGCGAGAAGCATCTTGACGTGTCTATGACCCCACACATTTAACTTCTTTTTTGTATGGCCCGAGCTGGCACACCTTGAGGCGGCGTAGATAAAAGTATGTCACGCGTTGCTGTCCGGCAAGACAGTCCTGACATTGGGACGGCTGGCACGAACTACTCCACTCCGTTTATTACTCGCTCGATATCGGCTCCTAGGGGTTGCCCCCCGCCCGCAATTCGGCGGTTGGGGCTTGGCCATCGGGACCTCATTTCATTTCCTCCCGATTTCGGAAGAAACATCGGCAAAAACTCGCTTGGCGATCGCTTCAGCAGTTCTCGCGCCTGTGCCACAGGCGGCCCGCGCGTTGTAGTCGTCCCAAGAGAGAGAGAGAGAGAGAAAGCAACGCGTAAATTCTGTGTTGTCGGTGGTCGCCACTTTGCTTTTTTTCAATGCCCAACCTCCCCATGAACGGGTCTCGGTTTCCTGCTGCAACGCGAGAATTTGACAATTCAGGTGTGCCAACGTATGTACCCGGTGGAACACGCAACAATGCAGTCGTGTCGACAGGTCTACCGAACAGTCTCCCGCTCGGAATGGGGGTCCTACCCGGCACTACTACCGGCGGTTGTGGCGTCCCCATCCTGCCCAACGTCACTGCTGTCGGGGCTCAAGACAATTGGCGACAGGCAGGCGACGAGATGAAGCGACTCCGGTCGCGGCACGTGATTCTGATCGAGCGGATGCTACGAAACCACCAGCCTCATGACGTCTTGACACAGGTACCCGAGAACTACGACTGGCACTCCAAGACTTTCGCACTGGCGATTAAGATCGAGCGGCTCATGTTCACCACCGCTACGTCGCGCGAGAATTATCTGGATGAGAGCACACTACGCCAGCGGATGCAGCTCCTGTCGCGTCATTTGGTGCGGCTTCGGAAACGCAAGAATGCAGTGGCAGCGTCGACAGGGACTCGTGTGTAGAGTGGAGGGTAGCATACAGGTTTAGACACGACCCTTCCACGTCGATATGCGGTCTGTGTGCTTGACGGCGTCAAAGTAGGCAGCTTAGGCCTGCACGTATTTAAGTAAGGTAGTAGTATAAAATGTGTTGCCAACTTTGCTCGCCAACCTGTTCCCGTGTCCATCAACACAAAGTGCGAGTGTCTCCCAGCTCCAGGCCCAGTGGAAGGGTGCAGCGGGACATTCGCGAGCTCGCGTTGCCGAAACCGGTGGCGGGTTACCATTCCGTAGAGCTGTCATGGGTTTACTGCCGTTTCGCCGTCCAAATCATCGTGTCTGGCTGGCGTTGCATGTAGTCAACAACGATTGTAGATGCCGGTTTCCATGTGCTGGGTGCGTGGCGGCGATACCTTGCTCTCCAGACGCTGGAGCCCAGAGAATCCCTAAGACTCCCACGCGCGCGGGTGGGGATTACGGGCAATGAATCCGCACGTGCTCTGGTCATATCGTGACATTTTACTGCAACTTTTGTAGATTTCGGTGGGTTACTGTCATTTTTGTCAGCTTTCACGTTCAACTTGTTACATGCACGCGGCGAAGCACTCGCAGGGCAAAAAGGTAGAACATGGTGGTAACTTTTACAGGTTTATTGTTCGTTCAGCCCCCGTTGTAATAAAAGCCGAAAATTTGAGAAGCTTGGGTCTCTCATCGTTTGGATAAGATAAGCAAAAATGTAGTGACGCGCTGCTAGCAATCTCGATAAAAATAGTGGAGTGTATTTTGGTTGGTGAGGGCTATTACAGAGAATTTGTTACTCTGATGCTGCTTCGAACGACGTAAAGGTGGTGGATATATCGATCTAGTGAGGGCCGCTTGTTGTCAATATGATCCACGATCCGGCGAATGCATTCACTGGGGTGCGTTGAATTACTTTGATGCGTTAGAACAATGAGGGGTAATTAACTATTGACTGTTTGCAGGCTTCTAGTGCCTCTGGTCGAGCCATGTGGAAGAGGCAAGTTGCCAACCAACAATCGAGGGAGAGCTCGGACAGTGGCGGTGACGCGACATTGGCTCGTATTTCGCTGCCCTCGGGCGAACAGATCCACGACATGTACGTCGTAGTTATCAATCCTTTGGAGATGTTTTAAACTCAATAGTTAGCATCCCGATCGTATGTGCAGAAGCAAGTTGTACCTAAAGCATTGCATCAAGGACGAGCAGCGATCCGCTCATCGTATCAACCAGGAGAAGGCTCGTTCAGCACGCGAAGTTAGATCCACTGGAAGTGATCGACGGCCTCTTGACCCAGAGTACAGTCTTGCTCGGAAACTAACGGATGTCCCGGATGTGATGTACAACACGGATTGTGGATCGAAAAAGGTGCGTCTTCACGGTATGTTTTCACGTCCTGTACTCACTAAAACGTGTTGGTTTAGACACTCCAACGGCATGTTGAAGACGGATCCAATACTTGCCGAGGAGCCTTTAGCTCTACGAAAGACCGGTTTGCTAGTACGGCAGCATATCGCTCGTCCACGTTTGCTAGTGTGGTGAAGGAACCTTACGCAGACCCACAAGCCGTTGGGCCGGGAACTTATCGAGCACCTCGTCGTGCTATCAACGTGAAGAAGAAACAGGTTCCTACTCCAGCGTACGTTAGTAAGGCGGCACGATTCGAAGAAGCGAAAGCTCAAGTCACCGCAGTGCTGGCACTGGTGAGTCCTACAGCTAACTCGCCAAAAGAACGAGATTTCATGTTTGCCAGCAGCCCACGCGGTGCCGGAGGTGGTGGCCACTCTCCACCTGATAAAGTCCGTGGACCCGTTCTCTCAACTACACCTCGTTTTAAATCGGGCGTGTTCCCAGGTAGAATTTGGAGTTTTTTTTTCTTCTTGTTATCTAGGTTTTCATTCTCACGTGAATATTGCACAACCAGAACGGTATGTATCTTCAAGACAACACCGCATTCAGGACGACACACCAGATCGGTTCTACGACGTTAGTCCGTCCTGCAAAGTAAGGTTTATCTACCTCGATGCATCTGAGGGAAGTCTCACTTTCTTCTCTATATACAGTTTTCAATGAGCGCTGCTGTTGCCAGCTCAAGTTTCAAGTGCTCTACCATGCAATCACGCGCGAGTCGACTTTCATCTGTACGTGAAATTTCACTACTTGAAATCGCCAAATTTTTAATGTGGCAATTGCAGGAGGCGGCAATGGTCCACAACACGCCCAATTTCCCGATCTTGACTAGCCCGACAAAGGAAACAGTCGGCCCAGGAGCATACAGTCCCTCGTCCAAGACCAGGCCGCCCGAAGATGTTAATTTCATCATGATGCCGCACCAGGTACGTTGTCGGTCGTTGCAATATATTGCTGCAATCACTAACTTCACAACTGCATCGCAGACGGACCGCTTCGGCCTGCCTTCCCCCAAATCCAGCTTCATCGAGGCTCGCTTCCGTCGCTTCGCAGTGGACCCAGATCCCCCTACGCCACACCGTCCACCTCCCAGATAAAGGAGACCATTACTCTTCTTCAACTGTGAAAATTAAACAAGACAACCCTCTTCGAAAATTACTTGGAAGTATTTTATTATTCGACTTGCTAAAACCTCAAAATATTTTAATTGGTGCAAATCCATCAATAAGATTTTATCCAATCCGAAGTCGTTTATTCGGTGGCGACAATCACAACGCAAGGAGAAACTATGGCGGCCAACAAGCTCTGGAAGACGGCGCCCACCAAGGTGTTCAAGACCATCAAGCCTATTGTGCACTGGGGCTTCGTGCCTCTGGTCGTGTACATCGCGCTCAAGCAGGAGCCTAACCTCACGTACGTCGCTAATTCGTCGTCTAAATAGCAGAAGGATGTAAAACTAACGAGCAGTTCTGCAGTCTAATGCAGATTATCAACCCGTTCGCTGCCCCTGCTGAGCCTCCTCAGATGTAGAATGCTGGACGAGAATGATCGAGTGTAGTGAGGCGCCTCCAGGATTGAAATTCAGCCGCTAGAAACCGCGAGGAGCGACAGGATGAGACTCTTGACCTGATGGGGACAGTTATCCCGGACAATTCGTTGGATAATGTCGACGCGATTCTCAGCAAAGATGAATATAGGTCGGGTAGGGAACGGATGTTGCTTAAAGCAGTCATCGCCACCTTATCTCTTTTTTGTTCTCTTAACTCTCATGTTTCTCTTTTCTTCTCTGGTACTTCTGTTCTTCTCTTCCTGTTGTATCAAGTTTACTGCTAGAATATCCTGAACGTTGCCAATTTAGAAGCAGTTTAGCACTTCCAGATCCGGCACGTGTTGTCCTTTGAGCCTACAGTCACAAGTTCAAAATTTAGTCATGATTTTTTGCCAACTAAGGAACACAGTTTTAAACTCCACAGTACCTGTGATGATAGTGTCGCCTTCGTAGTTGAAGGCGCAACTGAAGATCTCGTCCGTGTGGCCCTCGAGCATCTGCAGACAGTCCCCAGTCTCGACTTCCCAGAGTCGCGCTACCTTGTCGCTACTGGCCGTGAGCACCTTGGAGCCTTGCGGATTAAAACACACCTTGGAGATTTCGGCCTCATGGCCGATCAAGATGGCTTGACACGCACCCGTCATGGTATTGTAGATGCGAGACGTGCCGTCTGCCGACGCGGTCACGAGTTTCGAGCCCGTAGCATTGAAGCTCACGTCCAGAATTTCGTCATTGTGGCCTCGAAGTGTCTGCACGTTCTGTCCGGAAGCAACGTCCCATATCTTGCAGGTGCGGTCGATAGATCCGCTGATACACAACTCTCCCGTGTAGTTGAACTGCGTACTGGAGATCTCGCCGTGATGGCCTGCAAGCGTGTGAATACAGCGGCCACTGCGCACATCCCACACTTTCACTGTGTGATCAAAGGAGCCTGTGATGATACGTTCGCCTTGAGTGTCGAAGTTGAGACTCACGATCTCGGCTGTGTGGCCAAAGAGAGTGTGCAGTTCCTGTCCGGTTTCAACGTCCCAGAGCTTCGCCGTATTATCCATGGAGCCTGTTCCAATGACTGTGCCTTGTGGATTGAAAGCTAGACACACGATCTCTGTCGAGTGGCCTCGAAAAGTGTGGTAAAGTTGACCGGTCTCGGCGCTCCAGAGCTTGCACGTCTTATCGAATGACCCGGTGATGATCTTGTCTCTGTAAGGTGGAATATTTCAGTTAAAAAAAATATATATTGCCTTCGTAGAGAGAAGATATACTAACCCGTAAGGGTTGTTGAAGGCGATGGCGTAGACGACATTCTTGTGACCTTCTAAGGTCAGTAACTCGTCACCTGTCTGGGTATCCCAGACCTTGCAGGTGCGATCATAGCTGCCCGTAATAAACCTGACAAAAAGATTAAAAAATAATATGATACATAACTTTGAGAACTGGGTTTCTTACTTGTCTCCGGACTTGTTGAAGGCGCAGTTGGTTAATGGTAGAATATGCGCGCGTAGAATCTTGAATAGATAGAAATCATTACTGTCGTTCACCTCGAGCTTTTCGATCAGCTCTGCAGAACACAATTAGCGTATGTAGCCATTTAAAACAGCTAGTACAGTATCTCCTCTAACTCACTGTAAATGAGACGGCGAAGCTGTGGCTTGCGGGACTCAGAGATGAGCGGCTCTTCGAAGACAATCTGGTTCACCAGCACCTCGATATCGGACCTGATCATTGGAACGTCGTTTGCATCAGCCTACAACTGCGTTTTATTCAATAAGTGTTTTAAACGTACTCGGCTGTGAGATGCAGTAAATCGATCTCTTTCATCTCGCGTGTGCCGTCACGAAGTTCATACTCGAGAATGATTCCAGGCGGGTAGTAACGCAACAGGAATCGTTTAAGCTTCATGGTGACGACTGGTGTGTTTGGTTAGTGGTCGATAATAGCCAAGGATCTGTTCGCGATCCTATTGCAGTGGCGACCCTTGAACTCGTGGTGTTTCCTACATTAGATCGGGTCAAATGGCTACAGCTCTTATCGACTTTTTGGTGTGCTTCTTCTTGCAAAGATCTGTATTATAATGCAGTGACCCATGCCACCAGGTTTGATTGTACAGCGCCTGGATTCACTTCCTATACAATCATACATACATGTATTACTAGTGCACTTCATCCAACAAAGCAGAGTTTTTATTACTATGCTTCTGTTAGAATTATCCTTTGATGATAATCCATGGTTCTCGTCGCGCTGACAATGCTAATGAACATTGATAATGGCGACTACTTTGTTTATCAAAATTTCGGGTGGTTGCAACCGCAGGTTACTTTACATGTTACTACGTAAGCTTATCTTACTTGCATTACTGCTATCAAAACGCGGAACTAGCAGCGAATCCATCGCCAATCTGAATGCAGAAGCGTATCCTCGAACTCGTTCAACGTTGAAACCTGGTTGTGATTGGCACCGTAGACTTCATGATGGACTGGTGTCTCAATACAGACTAAATCCATTCCCTGCATAGTAGAAACACAGAGTTAATTCAGTGAGCATACGTATCGCAGCAAGAAATAGCTTACCTGCATTATTGATTGTTCCTGTACGATTGCGCACATCCGTTCGCTCCTCTGAATCTGGCTTGCCAGAATACTTTTCAGAGTGCGGTTCGTTTCCTCAGACTGAAGTCTAGCATGATAATGATCTTCGGCCAGCTCTTCCCACACCGACTTCGTCTTTGTTTTGATCCCATCGGCAGTGGGTTTTTGCTGAGGAAGGAGGCAACACCGACGTTTGGGTGCGGTTTGTAGTTGATGCACGTGCTCCTCCAGTTCTAGCACTCGCCGACGAAGAAAGAGGATTTCTGCCTTTCTGCCTTGCTGCAGCCTAGTAGATGAACTGAGATTGCGTCTTTTCCTCTTCTTTTTCTTGTGTGCTTTGTGCACCCCGACGTCGGTTGGCGAGGCATCGAGCAGTACGTCTCCAGTGTCAGAGTCGATCGAGTCATTGACGTCGCACGAGTCGATGAAAGCGAAAACCTCTCCAAGCGTCATGAACTGGTCCTTGTCATTAAGCAAGAAACTCATAGTCGTCGTTTGCAGAACCCTGCGAAATGTTGAATGGAGCACCTTTAATGATGCTCTTCGTCGATCTTGATTAAATTATTTAATACAACCAAGGTGACTAATCACGATGGAAACCATGCGTATACACTATTCTAAGGGATTTGCTTTCAAGTTGAACACGTTGCGCGTTTCACGCAAAGTCGAATGACGGCCTGCTTTGGGTTGCTTGCAGGACCTGTAATACTGGATTTCGTATGAGTTGGATACGGCTACCAATCTGAAACAAGGAAACGTAACGCACAATAAAAACAGGGATCGCTGTCCTCGCTCGACCTATGGAGAAGTTCTACCCTATTGAAGTCATTTGAAATGTGGCCCGTAATACCGGATACGTCCTTCACGGATAGAAATACCGGAAGAATGTGGACGCTAAGTGTGTTTCCGGTACATGTATCAGTTTGCGCTCGCTTTTTTAGAATGGACACGGCTAGGGTTTGCAAGGGGTAGGTGAAAGCGTGTGCATTTGGAAAGGCCTTTTTGGGCTCTGTGTTTCAGGACACCTCGAAGGACTGCGAAACTTAAGCCTACAGCCAAGATAGACCGAGGCTTTCATTTTCCAACGTGGGCAATCACAAATTCATACCTTTAGTTGGGAATTCACCGTGTTCATTTCCCTGGGGCACTTCGTAGTTTTCAGGATTGGATTAGAGAGGCCGTGACATCCATCTCGGTCGGGTTGTAAGCGCCGTCGACTATGCGCGTGTTCGGCCACTTCTCAAGTCTGCTGTGGTAAAATCCATTTTGACGTGAGGGTGTCCTACCTAATAAGTTTCGCAGTGCGTTGGTCTGTTGAAGCGCCAAGGCCAAGATGCTTATCGCCAGGCTCTTGGACCATAGGACTCCTGATTACGAGTTGAAACTGTTGTTTACTTATCTCGGATTACTGTACATGATTAGTTGCAGGGTTAAGTAAACGGGCGTGACACTGTCTTGAACTCGTTAGGCGTGGCGTTTGAGGAACCTTAGACTTGTTGTTGGATACTCAGAATCAAAATATCCTTTATTATGATAACTTGCCGCAGCAAGTCCTTGAACAGGACTGCAAATGAGTGACAACGATCACACCTGATGCTTCTTCAGTCGTAGCAGATAGCCGTCAGCTTTGGTAGTGAACGGTTCAGCATCCGTAGGCCATATCTAGTCTAAGGTAGCTGTTATACTATCCGTTCCAACAACTGTCAATAGTTGCAACAGTTTCCAAGACTGGGCGACCAAGAATCAGCCTCAATTTTTCTTATAACGGAGCAGCTATCGAGTATTGGATTGAACTGCGTAGCCGCAAGTAGCAAAGAGGAGAGCCTAGACAAGTATATTGTTATTTTTGACAAGTATATGGACTGCCCGCATTAAGGGGATCATTTGCGTTTTGCTGCTAGTACTTCGAAGTAGTACTGATCATGATTTACATTTCCAACTGTCTTCTAATATCACCTTTGTCCGCTTTTACGTTTTTTCGGGGGGTTGAGCTGATTTTCAAAATGAATTTGATGGCAAGACAATGGCATTTTATGTTAGGTTGGTCGTGGTCGCGAAGTTACAACGCTTCCAAAACTCTTGCGTTCGCCACAAACATGGCCTTAATGATCTTGGAGGCATTATCACCTCCGAACTTCCTGGTTTGTCTCTTCTCGAGAACTGAATGCCGCATATTCAGCGTGGTTTTACCCTGAGTATGAAGAGTGCTACGTGAACCAACAACTGAGTCACGAGTTGCACACTAGGCATGTTTCTCCACTTCTCTTCCGACTTGCACAATGCTGCTATGGGACTACAGAACGTGTATCAACTTAGGCACTTTACCCATTGAAAGTTGGTGCCTCGCTATCGATTGCTGCTTGGTTGTAACAGAACACATAATTTTAAATTGGGGCTGCAACGTTTCACCACTACGGGAGCAACACCTCAAAAGAGTTGCTGGAGACAATAGAAAATACTATACATCTTCCCAGATACAAAAAAAAAAAAAAAATGCTACGAAAACATAAAAGAAAACAACGTGTTTGATAATGCCAACTAGCGGAAGGTTATCTATCAATCCAGATAACCTACACATGCGAGGCATCAGACCTCCAGTTATGCAAACATGTTCACCCTTATACAAGTTCGGGTCTCTCATGCTTTCCACTTATGCGCCAGCGTAACCGAAGAGTGTAAGGCTGGCCACCATAATGAACATGCCTGCGAACGTGCCCACAGCGACAATATGCGTCTTGTCCTTCGCGAACTTGTACGACGTGGGGATCAACTCCTTGACACAGATGCACACCATGATGCCACACACGATTCCAAACAGGACTCCCTCCGAGACCGGGTCCATGCCGTCACCGATCGCCAGCCACGCGATGAGTCCACCAATGGGCTCGGCTACAGCAGAGATCGCACACCACATGATTCCACGCCAGCGAGAACCGGTGGCAAAGTAGATAGGTGCTGCAACTGCGATACCTTCAGGAATGTTGTGGAGACCGATACCAACAGCAAGTGAGAATCCAACCGAGGAGTTCTGGATTGCACCGACGTAGGTGGCGATTCCCTCGGGCAGGTTGTGGATACCGATGGCAAGAGCACTGAGCACACCCATGCGCTGGAGAGCCTTCTTGGCCTGCTCGTCCATCTTGATGTAGTAACCCGTAGGCTCGGGCGTCTGAACTTGCGCTTCAAGGCATGGCGTCGAGGTTTTGGCGCTCTTCTTTTCGCTCTCGAATTGGTCCATTGACTCGCGGACGTCTCCCAGGTTCTCGATCTCAGTGATCTCGTGTTCGGGTGACAACTTGTGCACTACGACGTCGATGATGTAGATGAGAGCGATACCGACTGCGAAACACGCCGTGGCCGCAAGCCAGCCATGACCCGTAGCCGTCTCCTCCGTCATGTCTTCGGTATAAAGACCTTCCTTCAGCAGGTTCACCGACTCACTGAAGATCTCGACCAACGAGATGAACATCATCACACCGGACGAGACACTGAGAGCTACGGCCAAGCTCAGTGGGTTGGCTAGGTACACGAGGCGCTTGCTGAAGATGACCATTCCACCCAGAATCGTGGCGGCACCAGCTGCGATATTCAACGCGAAGGCGACGGCAACGGCATGACCCGTTTGAATCATAGTTTTCGGGTTGATGGGACTAGTTGGAGGCAATTTTAAAAATGATAAAATCGGGAGACTTCGCAGTGGGAGTCTCCGATTATGGGACGGGTTTCCATTCAAACGAGGCTTATCCGGCACAGGACTACAGCTGAGAGGGGCCGACGACATGCGGGCACAAATGATCCAACAAAACTGGCGAAATGGCAGCAGGGAAGATATGCAGTGGACATGAATGGCGGAGCAGTGTCCACTTGTTCACCCACAATGGGTCAGGTTGAAGCTGAACGAATAATCTTCAGGCTCAAAGATTACTCTGTTCTCGTAAAGATTGGTTTTCCGACTAAGCAACATGATCTCAAGCATTTGTACTGGAGCAAGGCCACAGATAACGAGAATTTCCCCCGCTTTGGCAAATCGGGTGAATACTCACCAAAGCCGTTGCCGACCAGGAATGAGATCGCCAGACGCCCAAACAGAAAAGTCTATTTGATGGCCAACTCAGCCAGTTCGTACATCCGAATCGGACGATCCGATGTACTACATCGCTGCATCATGGCACAGTACGAACCGGCTTGTGAGACAGCCTTCCTCAGATAGGACGCCTATTAGAACCTGGTCGCGAACCGAATATGTATAAGGACACGCGTATCTGCAGACGACAATGATACCACTGCAATCAGTGTTGAGTCACGATGCACAAACGATTGCTGAGAGGACAAATCCGCTGCTCCAGCAATTGCAGCTGAAACATACAATGCACTGCAGGTATGGAATAGTTGTGCTTGTACTCTACTAACAAACAAACAAAAAGTAATACATGTAGTAATACACCCTGAAGTGTTGGTTCCGGTAATTTCTAAAAGCGCTGGATGCAGGAAATGGACGTACGAAAACAGCTCATGAAATCATGTACAGATACTTCTCCATTTACCAGGATGCCACAAGTGTAAAAAGTGTTCGCTTACATTACGAGAAGGATCGTGTCGGGACTTCAGTATGTGGAATTTTATAAAGACAGTACGAATAAGTGGGTCATCATATAAACTCGAACCAGTGCCAAGCAGCGGGGATCGATTCCTGCAACAACCTGCAGCTGTTTGACTTTAAAAATGCTATTCTTTTTAAAAATCCAAAACTTGATTTACTTGGGGTCTGAAAGAGATACCCCCCCCCCCTTTCAGATTTATTCTTTAGAACTGAGAAAGTATATTCTGGACGTCACAGGCTCACTGCAGCACAATGGAGTCCATTCTGTACGTTCACGCGAAGATAGCTAACGCTACTATTATATAACAAATCGGCCTGTGCAAAGAACACTCTGGCCGGGTCCACACTCTCGAGGCGTGGCGCTTTGATCCAATAGGAATGAATTACTATTATCCATCCGGATCGTCAGATGCAGACATACTTCACAAGTACATGCTTACACTGTATGTACACATATCACTTGGTTGTCAGTCTGTCAATCCTGACTACATATATTAAATTCATTGGCTATCATGCATGAAGGAAGCATGCAAACCCACACAAAACTAACTTTGAAGACAATTTTAATGGCCTTGAAAGTTAATTCCCTTGATTAATGAATCGCTGCTGGAAGTGATGATAGGCAATCGACATATCCAAGGACGAGTGGCTCAAGGTGCAGACTAGTAGCAGCACACTGCATTCTCAACATGCAAGTTGCTCTGAAATCATTAGATGCCACCGACAAGTACTTGGTGAATCATCTATCATCGGAGACTTCCACAAGGACAGCCGCGATTTGCGATCAGGAGATCGCAAGTCAAGCAAATCTGACTAGAGTTTTCGCTAGGAGGGTCTTACTCAGAAACTCGTAAGGCCGCCCTGCTGAGTGAGCATGTCCAACCGAAGGATGTTGCCTTCTGTAGTTCCTATTCACTAGCGGTAGTTGGGCCTGCCTCATTCATCTCACAACTCTTTCGGCCTCTTCGAGCTCATGTGGCACTCGACTCTCCTCCTCGTCCTCTTCTCCTGTGTCTGCGCGGCGCAAAGCCCTTCAAACTCTTCGAATTCGTTGCTCACCACCTCTTCCAGCGGCAGCGTCGACGATGTCTACAACGTGTGCCCCGTTGTCGTCGAGTTTACTGAGGAACAAGAAAATCTCTCGGATGATGAACTCAAAGCCAACGCCGCTGACGCAGCCATGTCTGCGTATCTACTTAGCCATCCCAACAACACACTGTGGGACTACTTCAAGATCGAGAGACGCCAGAAGAAGGCGATGAACAAGAACCTGCCACTAAAGGAGCGGGTCAAGAAAGCCATCAAGGGTTTCGTTGACTACACGGCCGACACTCTTATCGCCATGGCACAGACTCTCGCTGACGCGATCGAGTGGATCATTAACACTCTTCGGGACCCTCTTGTCGGAGTCAAGCAAATCACCAGCTTCTTCAAAGAATTTGGCAAGAACATCAAGTCTCTGTGGGGACTTATGAAGGAAGACCCGAAGGAGACGGCCGAGAACATGGCAGGTGGCTTGCTACTCCACATCTCGCACCACCCATCAGAGTTCACAGCTGAGACTGTGCTTATGATCAGTGGTGGCTTCGCAGTGATCGGTGGTCTAATGGCTGGAGTTGAAGCTGTCTTCGGTACGATGAGCAACGTCATATCCAACGTCCTGCTGTCTGTACTCATGTTCATCCATGCCATCGATGATCCGATCTACATCGTCACTCCCCTCGTCACGTCCATTGTTGACACGGCTGGAAAGCTAACCGCTAACAACACCGCGGACAGTACAGTGCTTACGATCGACGCGATTGAGCCCTTGGAGACGTGTCAAATTCCGGAAGAATTCCGCCCGGTTTTCTCCTCGCGCGACTTGTGTTTGAGTAACCCCAAGCAAGTTCGACAGCTGATCTTCGGTACACACAAGCGCGCTGCCCAGATGACTCAGCAAGAGCGTATTGCTGCATACAACCGCTTTCATGATTTTGTGTGCTGCTACCTGGAAGACCAGGAGTTCGAGGTGAATGCTCCTAAGATGGACGAAACAGCTTTTGAAGCTGAGCTGGTGTCTACTCCTGTGAAGATGCAAAACTGTACTCAGCTTATGGGTAACTATAGTGCCGACACGGTGTGGAAATCTTCTACTACTGGAAGCTCCGAGGTGGCCCTCGATGATGACAACGAAATTGACACGACTGAGGCGAATGCCGGCAAGACAGGGCTTCGCAAAGAATAGATCACACCGATCAGTTTCGCTAAAAGCAGTACTACGGTATCATCTCCATGTTTCGTCAGCCAAAGTTGTACGCCCCATATATTGCTGTAATGCGGCAGTTAAAAAAGAGATTCTATGATTTGAAAAATTGTTTTCATTGATTTCCGGTTTTTTTCAGACAGAAAAACAAATCATGGCCTAAGTAGGATTTGTGCAGTGTACAACTGTAGTATTACTGTAGTCGATTCTTTGCTGTGACTGCAGTCGGTAGGATATGTTGTCGAATGACAATGGGGTGTCAACGGCATTTCCGAACGCAGAACATCTTTTTCCTGGTAGTATGCAAAGAAACAAGCAATTTGACCCATCAATTATGAAAGCCATTTATAAAAGGTAAAAGGTTGTATCCTAACGCACCTGGTAGGATGTTTGTATCTGCACGACCTCACGCAGTGTATCGTTCAGTTGCACGTGGGTGGCCATGATCGCTTTTGATGCGCGATTTGTTTCTTCAGATTGCAGTCTTGCCTGGTAATTTATCCCGGCCAGCGTAAACCAATACGCCGTGTTCTCCTTTGCCCTCTGACATATGGGGGATGTGCGCATCTGCGCTCCTTGGGCCTTTAGCTGCTCGAGATACCCCTCCAGTTCTTGGACGTGCCGCCGCAAATACAGGAACTCAGCTTTCTTCCGCAGTTGTAGCCGCGTTGACGAGCATAGATTAGATCTCTGTCTTTTCTTCTTCCTGGTTGCAGTCGATTGTCGCTTACGGTCTCCATCACGAATTGTCAGCCGAGGAGAATGGGCTCAATAGAAACGATATGTTCGAGGTCGAAGGAGTCGATAAACTCCAGGGTTTCTTCCAACGTTGCCACACTGCTGTTGTCGTCAATTAACCAACACATTGGTTGATTTTTTCTTTCTTGTCGAGAGATGTTCAATTCCACAGTGGCCCGTTTGAGCCGCCAAAAGCTCACGTCACAAGGAACGGAACTCTGTAACGCGTTGAACATCAGTGGCAATGTATTGATAATCCCTCGAGTTTCTGCATAATCACGATTATGCAACTTCAAAATAACATAATCAAACGCAACATTTGTATCTGTACATTATCTCCAGGTCAGTCATGAGAAGTGGTGGATTGACAGCAAGTCCACACTAACTATATAGTATAACCCTGCCCAATAGTGGGCCATCATACAACCTTAAAGCAGGAGAGTATTTTGATATCTGCGCATGTACTGTTCTAGTGTTAGCGATAGGTACGACCCTCTCCATTTTCGTTAAATCGAAATGTCTTTTTTACCGGTATCATGTGAAATGCTCTATGCCCTTGTGAGGGTTTTTATATGACTGCTGTGAAGGGTTAAGCAAACATCGTTGCAAAATCTAGTTAGGCTGGTGTTATTTGATTAGATACGCCAGTTTCAGAAAATTGCTAAGCGTACGTAAACACTGCTAGCCATCGATACTTCATGCAGAATTCAAGCATTCTACATGTTAATAAATCAGATATTATTTATAACGTACTCTACTACTTGATTACAGGTACTGAAGTACTAGCTAGTATTTTTTAAATGGGGTACAGATTCTCCAACTTTCGATATCCAAAACTGAAGCGTCTAATTCGAGGTATACAACTAAAAAGGACAGTCGAGGTAGGATGCGTGTGCTGACCATCACTTACTCACTAAAACGGTTCAGTCCAACAGATCGGTTTTGAGGGAGTATTAAGCAGCCGTAGTATCAAAAGTGGTAGCGGAATCTGTATGTTAACTAGAGAATATTTATTGGGAAAATGCGAGACTTTCTTTAATATTGAATTCATGGAGGATAATAGTGGTATTCAATTCTCACTGTACACTATTTGGATATATTGCTTTAAATTAATTTACCAGAGCATACTACAGTAGCTGGACCTTGGGGCTTCCGGTCCGAAGGCCGCTTTTCTTGTTGCAAGGCACCAAGCTTCTTCAGGTCGCGCATTTCGGCTCCTCTTCCTGTCCGTTGCTGTTTTGTTGGCAATCGTTCTTTCTCAGTAATGGTAGCGGACTTTGTCGCTTGGTGCCGCGTCCCGTTAGAGTCTGTCTGCTGTGGTTTAAGAAATGAGGGTTGAAGCAATTGTACCTGGCTTTGGTCGACGTCGTAGTGGACGCAGCAATTCCTCGATCTGGGCGAAGAACTCACGCTTCTGCTGCGCGGAGAGTAGCTCCATGGCCTCACCACCAAGAGTTTGATAAGTGGAAATGGATTAGCTGAAGTGGCCATGCTAAGAGACTGTAAGATACCTGAAGTACATTATGGAATGACATACGCAATACAACTCGAATGACATACTACAATACAATATCATTATTGCTTTTATTTTGAGTAGTGCTTCGTAGAAGTGCCTAAATATCCGAAGGGGATTAATTCAAGATTACTGACGCGTGAACCACACCCACGCAATATGTAGCCGGCTGACGTGTGCGACTGGAGCTAGGGGAATTCATCGAGGTCGGCCAGTCTTACGATCGTGAATTGGCTAGCTGTTGTTAGCTAGGGCTCGTTCGCCGTTAGGAAGCTCACTCGCGATTTTTCAGCGTCCCAGCAACAAGTTGACCCACCGCACCTCACCCAGATTCACGCAACTTCAATGGCGTGCCATCGTGGAGCTAGGTGAAGTCGCGCGGCATTTAATAAACATGCTCGGTTTGCCCCACAACGCCAATTTCATTGTTCTCGGATTTCAGATATTGCAATAGAAAACGGTTCCGAAAAGCAGATTTTTAAAACTCAGACTTGGAGGTCATCCATAATTGGTGTACCTGGATGGTGGGTTGAGATTCGCAGCTCGAATGTCAAAAACGTTAAGTTTGATTGGTTGGGGCTTAGTCGGTTTGAAGATCTTTGTTGCGGGAACCTCTAGTACAAGCACATGGGATGGAAAAGATGATGAGGATCATCCAACAAGGTGAGGCGAACACCGCTGGAGAAGCAGAACGACCAAGTGCAGTACAAGCAGCTGGAAGATGTAGACAACAATTACAAGCGGTTGCAGTTGAAGGCAAGGTTGAAGTTGTACATGTTGCATGCGAACGAGTAGAAGTTACCGAGTACTAGACCAGGGAGACACCTAGAGTGCAAGAACGATAGGAACACAGAAGTACGAAGATAGCTAAACTCAATCAGATCTCAAGTTACCTGTTCAAGAACAACCTGTTCCAGAACAAAAGTGCTGATTGATAACTGCGAAGGCATCTTGCCCGAGTTCTTCAGTAACAACTACTCTGCCTAGTGCTACCATACACATAGTGTGACGACGCTAATGCGACAATCTTCCACACCAGCAACACATAATTCATCAAGCAAGTGATATCCGACTGACTGCAGTCGCGCAAGTCCAAACAAGGCAAGAAAAATAATTCTTGGGATTTTTTTTTTTTTTTTTTTTTTTGGGGGGGGGGGGGGGAGGTTAGATTAAGAGCTACGACATGTATGAATGAGTGGTCGATATATCAACGCGAGCGCGTCCAATGCATCTGTTGACGTTGCCGTGACAGCCGGGTCTCAGCGTGAGCTCGGTGGTGGTGGCAATCTACCATCCCCAGCCGCCCCATCCACCGCAGCCTCCCCACGGCCCTTCTCATCCGAATCCGCCGCCCCACTATTCCTTATTCTTCTTGTCGTCGGTGTTGACGTCAGCAGTCTCCTTGCCAGCAGTTGCACCCAACGCTGTTGGGTGCTGCAGGTTCCAGTACGGCGAGAGCAGCGAATTTCATGAAGATCGACCGACTTGCTGACTTGATGCGATGTAGAACGTAAGTTGTGTAGTTAGATTAGGAATGCAGTCGGGATGGTTGGTATCTCGGAGAAGCACCGATACGAAAAATCTGGGTTTTCAAAATCGTTTTCTCTGATCGAGTTGTTTCGTAAATTTTTGCTAAACCTGATGGTCTAGAAAACGTGACTGGCCAAGCATTTAGTTATTTCGACAATTCGACATGTCCAGCGAAAGGTTGTCACGAGGGCTCGTTCCTGTACGAAGACCGTGTCTTCGAGATTCCCGAGCAGCTGAAGCAATGGTGTTAGGAGTCCATTATCCCAATCATGCAACGCGCTGTATACCTTCATCCCACTCGAAACACTGTCGGCCTGGAGTAGTTATCTTCTCCCGAGACACCTTCAGCGAAAAATAACACCTTGGTGCTGATATATATATATAAAGCTTGGCGATTGTGCACCTCCTTAGATATCATCCAAAACCTTTCTTTACAAAACCTTTCTGTATTATTAAACTGCGAAACGTTATGGTGTTGGGATCCAATAAACGAAGATTGGGGTTATTATAATATTTTTAGAATTCCAACACAGAATTGACTCAAACGCCGGTAGGACTGGGTTTCACAGAGGATCAGCCATATCGCCTATTTTAATACTTTTCGCATGCTACTATAAGCATAAAGTCTGCTGCAAATACGATTAACCTTAGTACAGAAATACTTGCCATATTCTTGACGAGCCTAACCTTTTCTTTCCTCCTACAGAAAGTCGATATCAATGAGTATTCGCCTTTTCACAGAGTAAGATCTACAGCTTGTAGCCTACAAGTTGTAGGTTTGTTAGTTGCATCAATTCCAGTGTTGCCGTCATCACAACGCCTCGGTGTATACGGCATCGTCCTCCTATAACGATTCAAACAAGTCAATCAGCCCGTCGATTTAAGGTACATATAAAAACCGAACGCACCTGGAACGAGACTTGCATCTGTATGATCCCACGCAGCGACTCACTCACTTGCGCCTGGGTGGCCATGATCGCTTTCAGACCTCGGTTCGTTTCTTCTGATTGAAGTCGTGCTTGATAGCTTAAGCTGGCTAGTTCCATCCAAGACGCCCTTCCATCCTTCACGCATTCTGACTTCATGCGGGGGATATCCTGAAGACACTGGGTCCTCAGTTGCTCGATATATTCCTCCATTTCTTGGATGTGGCGCCGCAGATACAGCAGCTCAGCCTTCTTCCGTTGTTGTAGCCGTGTTGATGAACTTAGGTTGGAACTCTTCCGCTTCTTCATCTTCTTGGTTGCTGTGTGGCTCCGAGCGTTGTCTTCCTCAGAAACTTCCAGATGAGGGGAATCACTGTTATCACTTGTAATAGCGTCTTCGAGGTCGAAGGAATCTATGATGGCAAGAGCTTCTTCCAGTGTTGCCTCACTGTCGCGGTCTTCTATAAACAAGCTAATTTTTACTAGAGCTTCTAACTTGTGTGGAACAGCTCGATTCCAGACTGAGGGCAAAACGTTCAGACGTTATCGTACTTATTAAAATATATTCAGAAGTTACGTCAGACAGCACGTTGGACACTTGCATACGTCCCTGCCGAAATGCATAATCTGTCATCGTAATCAGAAGGAATGCATAATCTGAATTCGGCTCTATTACCATAAATAACAGTGTCCGACCGCGCCCAACTCTCATCAATCCTGTAAAGGCTTTTTTTCTGGGGGAAATGACCACATCGTGTTAATTTTTATATTTAAATGCCGAACCGCTGCTTTAATGACTCGACCGGTGTACAGTAATAATTTTTAGTATTCTGGTGGTGAACAAGTAAGTATGCAAGTATGTTTTGTCTAAACCAGTGTGTGCAAAGCAATAGATTATCATGGCAACCAGAATCCTGCGACTACAACCGATTTCTAACGGTCTATTCTTTTAGGGTCGTTTAGTCAAATCGAAACTATTTTAATGGTTGATTGTGTGTGCTGCACTCTCAGACGTAGGAAACGAGATACTGCGTCAAATTGTTCCTATTGCCATCTTGTTATAATACCACTTATGAGCCGTAAATATCTTGATACATACATACGCTACCTACTTTGACGAAGTTTCAAGGTTGAAGCCGTAGGCTGAGGCGTTTATAGGCGTGACCCTGCAGTTGCCTTTACATCAAGATGCATGCCTTGAGCTGGACAAACGGCTGCCTCTTGTCTCACAAAATGCGGGTTCCCAAGGACAAAGGGGAGGGTGAAGATGCTGTGGAGCCGGCTTTGCAGATAAACCGCTAGGTTGATTCTTACTTTGGGTAGCTACTGCTTCAACAAAATATTGCAATTTTCGTAACTGACGCGATCGGTGAAACCAAGATAGATTGACAAATTTCATAATCCAGTACACTAGTACTGGATTATGGAAATTCCTCTGTTGTTTCGGCTAATGGGCAGAGTACTTCGAAGCTATCATTCGCAACTTGAGAACCAATACTAAGTACAGTTCAAAAAAAAAGAAACATGACTTTTTTTCTTCAAAGATGGTACATAGCATTACAGTACAAACAGAGGAAGCGGGAAATGACTAAATCAGTGTAATTTCGTTTAGTTAATGCTGAATCAGTGTGTGGCGACTACAGTATTAGAATACCTTTGTCTTTTTACAAATCATCATGTGGTTCTAAAAATGAAATCGTCACACAGTTGAATTACCCATTCCCATTTTCTTTTTAAG